AAATCAAATAGCGGTAAAAATGCCGCAAAATAGGCAAATTTTGAGAACAACCCAATCAGATTAGTTGGGAACATTAAAAAATTTTGTCAAGCTAATTAAAGATCTCTTGTTCTTGTTTGTTTTGAAATTTTTTGTTTTTCAATATCACTTTTTTCTTAAGATGTTTGACCTGAGTTTTCACCGCTATTGATAGTCGCCTGCTACAAATCGTCGGGTGCGGCGAATAGTCGCTTTCTACAAATGCACGAATGGTCGCTTTTGATCAATTGTCGCCAAGCTATAAAAAATTTTTGTTAAACTACAGGGAGGATTAAAATACAGGTAATTTATTTGGTTAAGAAATCAAAAATAAAAATGTCGTTTTGATCTTCGTTTCTTTTTTTAAACTTGTTTATAAATTTTTTAAAGTGTTGGGTAATTTTTAGCTTCCTTAAACAAAAAAATTCTTCTGAATTATGCAGGACTCATTTTGAAAAAGGTTTGACCAATTTCACTGCATTTTATCATCTTTTTTTGATTGCTCAAAATGCAAATTATGTTTGACCGTCTTCATTTTGCACAGCTTGTTTGAAAGAACTCACCTCATTTTGATTTTTTCCGACATATTGATTTAATCTTGTTAGATTCTGTAGTTCAAGTTTCTCGACTGAGCAAAGTGTGGGGAATTTGCCTATCTGCATTAATTACCACGAGTTGCCTATGTCCGCAGGTTGTCTTGTTTCACAAGTTGTCGTCCTAAATTTTTCATTAGTCGAATGAGTTCAAACGAAAATTACAAAGATTATCTTTAGCGTAATAAAAGAATGTTGGCCCTTTAAATCGAAATTTGTCTGAAGAAAAAAAGACCAGTCCGAGCACAAATAATCAGCTACTTTCTTCTGAATATAAGACTGCTCGTATCAGCGCGAAGCCTTGACTGTTCCAAATGCCCTTTAGTTGGTCCCGGATAGTTTTTGGTAAAGTAAATGTGAGCAAAACTACGACTTTTTGTGTGAGAGTTTCGAGTTGAACTTTGAGTCGAAGTTTGAGTTGAAGTTTGAGTCATTTGTGAAGTTATTAAAAAGATTATTCAATTCAATTTCGAAAATTGTTGTGGTGCGCGATAAAAACAGAAGACGTTTTCAATATACGCTTGGCAGGCTACTATAATGATGTTCACACTCGGCTGGTCCTATGCGGATCAAGAGATCGATCCACCGAGGGATCAAAGTTTTGTAAATTGATCTGAATAAAAAAACAGCCCGAGCATATATATTCCTAATTTTCATCGAAAGCCGGAAGAAAAAAATTGATTCAAATTATCAACTTTTTATGCAGTACGATTCCGACAAGGTCTCAGAAAAAAAATGTAGATAAAATAACAACTAATTAAAAGTGTTGTGCACCTTCTCAGTCCGAATGTGCACCTTCTCAATCTCATATCCAAGGACAAGTTAGAAGTTTTTTAGGTCTTAAACTCAAATTGAGTTCGAGCCTCATTTAATTTTTCCAAATGAAATCTACCAGTTTCCAAATGAAATCTACCTCGAGGCAAAAAATCACGTTGACATACTGATTTCCAAAAACAAAAATGTGTGTTTTCAAAGGTTGCACAAAAAAGTCAGCGTGGTCATCCTTTTGAAAAAGACCAAATATTTATAACTGACTTTTCATTAAGAACAAATAGCTTTTAACTTGGAAAAAAAAACTTTTGAAAAAAAAACTTTTTCTGCTCGGTTGATTTTTTTCTCCAAACAACTTATGAATTTTGAGCTAAAACTTTTTGACAAAAAATTTTTAAATCATTTGAAAATGTTAATACTTGAAGCTCAAAAATACAGAAATGTTTCAGGTGCGAACAGTTTTTTTCTCAGAAAGCCGGGGCTTGGTGTTGCCAATTTGGGATAATTAGGGCGCGAAATATAACGTCCTAAGTCAATACAAATAGCGATGAGGCTAGCATTTCGATCTCATTACGGCCCTACCAGAGGCAAAATAAGAAGTAAATTTTTTTATTGACAATAAATAGCAGTCACTGTATCAGCTGACTCGAAGAATCCTGTTTATTTTATAAGACAATAATCTGGGTTTTTGAACAGCGTGTTTTTTGGTGCAATGTTTCTTGTTT